AGTGAAGCTCTTTCTCCTCTTCAGTGTCGTAGATACTACAGACCGAGTTGACATTCACCCTTCTCTGTTGAAGCCCTTGGGTAGTAGGAAAAGGTCCCATACACACTATCTAAAAGAAAACTTTAACACGAGGTAGAGCAATAGCATTCCAGATTTTACCCTAAAAATTGGACACACTCGAACTCAAAGCTACATTATCAACATCGACCTCCCTAAAGATAGCCCTACAAGCTGAAAGAACAGAGTATTCACCATATCTTTAATCCCAACATAAAGAATCATCACGTAATTTGAAAATATTGAGATCTTAGTAATTCTCACCCTTTCAAATGGAAAAAACAGCTCATTTATCCTAGGGAAATTCCATGTAGCAGTAGGTAAATGAATTAAATTGCACTACCCCGAGAAAAAGTAATTTTTCTTGATTGTGTCCTAGGGATCCAAGGATCATTCCACACTATAATGTTCATCCCATGCCCTACTCTTAGCCTCAATCCTACAGTATGTATTAGATGTTTTTTTATTGCTTTTCAAGAATTTTCTATAAGTTTTCTAGGCTTTTTATTGTGATACTATTGTTTTAGTGTTCACTAGAGATGATGTAATTGCAAATTAAAACCCTTTAGAGGGAAAGTGATTGAATGAAATCTAAAAGCTTTCTATCTGGTGGTTCTTTGCTTTTATACTTGTGTGTTGTTAGACTTTTATAGATACTATATCTTACTAGCATAATAGCTCCCCTCCCTACTCATTTGATGTTATAAGAACTCATGGTTTGGTGATGAGTCTATTATATATATATATTTATTCACTGTCATGTGGTTATATTTGTGCTTATTTGAACTTTACGGAGTTATTTTTATTAGTAATATATGTTTTCTAGTGTTACCTTTTTGTAGAGTTGGTATTATTTTGTAGGAATTCCCGGTTTTACGGCTATTCCCGAACTATGTAAACTACTACAAATATGTTGGAGTTTGATTGTATTTTATAACAATATATTGGAAGCCTAAGGCCGAGCTAGATTAATTTAGTTCGGTGACTAATAATTACTAATGTCTACATTCTAGTGTAGGTAACTTTACCTACACCCCTTCCCTATATATGTGTGTGTGTGTGTAAAGCTAAACTTTTAGCCAGGTCACGAGGCAGCGACACTTGGCATTTCAACTTTTTGCCAAGTGTCGCGCCACATTGGATAGATTTGAATAGACTTCATAAGATATAAAGTTAGTTTAGAATTTTATTTGGATTGAATTTTAGGATAAAATGGCTAGTTTAGAGTTTTATTTTCAATATAATACCAATATTTCATATGTACAAATTGAATTTAATTTTATTCAAAAAATTTATTAGATTATAATTTTAAAAAATTATAATATAAATTTATTTTTTATATCCTAATATTTTTTGGAGCGAAGGAAGTAGTTCAAAGAGTAAAACATATATTTATAATATATACTAATTAGTTAAAATAATATAATTCATAATCTAATAGAATTTTTATTACTATGTAGACTTGTCAATTAGGGTCAGGTCATGAGTCGTCTCGAATTGGGTCACTTCAAGTTACGAGTCAAGAAATGATCAACCATTGCCTAAAGTTTTGGGTTCGGGTCAACCCAATGGGTTTTGAACATTTATTTTATCTAATTTTTTTTAATGTATTAAATCAAACATTTCCACCAACATTATTATTTGTTATTACATGTCTACTAGATAACAAATCGTCACAAAAGTATATCAATTCCTAATTAATTTTGTATCAATAATATATTTTAAATTTTGATATATAGATCGAAAATTTATCTTAAAATTCAATAAACAAACTCGGGCATCGCACAGGGCACAAAACTAGTATATATATAATCAAGTTGCCATGAGAACTAGCCGAATAATGAGAACAAAGAACTCATCACAACCGTTAGATCAAAAGACAAAGGACGAATCAGACTATTTAATAAATAGTATTCCCTCTTAATAAGTATTATAGTTTAACTTTTTTAACTATTTACATAATGGTTTTGACTTAATTAATTTACCAATATATAAAAAACAAATGTTATTTTTATAACATATTGTTGGATTCGTTATAATATATACTTTCATCCCTACCCATTAAAAAGCAGGAAGTTGTCAAACATGAAAGGAATAGTGTTTTGAGTCTATAGTCAATGAATTTCACTGTTCACAAGCTTGGCAAAAGTTTGAGAGTCTGAGATTGTTGCATTTGTGAACAATTTCATTTTCATTCCATTTCCATTTGGTGATTGGGCAAGTCCTTGTTGAGTCAGCAAGTTGGGAGCTGTGTTTCTTCCTCACGAATTGATTTGTGAGTAGTTAATTAAGGTTTATCCATGGTGATAAAGGTTAGAAATTTAATTTTGTCACAATTAATTGTTTGCTTTATCTGTAGGATAATTAGTGAATCATTTAATTTGTTTAAAATTAGTAGTCTATTAGTTAGTAATTTCCTTAGTAATTTTGTTTTAGGCAAAAGTAAATTACATTATACTGCATACTTAACGAATTTCTAGCCCACGAATTGATTTGTTTAGTGAACAATTAAGGTTTAGCAATGTTGATTAAATGGTTCCTTTGTTTCATGCATTGGTTAGTAATTTCCTTTATTTAAAAGACGCATTTAATTTTGTGACAGTTAATTGTTTGCTTTATCTTTGGGATGATTGGTGATTCATTTAATTTGTTTTAATTAGTAGCATATTAGTTAGTAATTTCCTTTTAATAATCAAAAGGAATTTAAGTTTGGCTTCACACTTAACGAACTTTGTATAAGTTAGTTGCAAGGGAATAGTTGGACAAAATTACTAACTAAATTCCTAATAGGCTAAAAACATGATTGGATTCGATGGTTAATGATTACATTAAATGTAATGATGTTATATATGAGTTGATTACAAGTACTAATTATGCTTATGCAGCATTTGGATTTAGGAGAATAAGTCTGCAGCATATTATATTAGTGAGATTAAATAGCTATATTAGTAGTAATTATCTTTGGTGTGGTATGTAAATCACACGTACACAACTATAAATTATAGTCTATGATGAATGGTACACATTTAGGGTGGCTGATTTATGCTAGGGTGGCTTGCCCTTACCTCAACTATTTTGTGAACAGTATGAGTTCTCCTGGTTTGGTGGAAGCCTGTTATCCTTAGTACGTTTGTGCATATTTAATTGGGTTGTTTTAAAAAAAATTTATTACTTGGCAGTATATATTTACCATTTGCCTATATATATACCCCATCTTGATTAAGAGGCATTGTGCTGTGCTTTTTTGGGGTTCTTAGTTTGCATTGGTATGCTCCTTTCAAAGGTTTTGCAATAAAGTAAATAAAAGATTTTAGAAATTACATTTTCCAGTTTGTAAGCATGATTATGTTTGGTTGTATGGTGTTGATGTTGTTTAGTAGCAGTGGCTTGGATTGATTATTTAATACAGCTCTTAGAACTGAACTTCATGACTGAACTTGAATAAGACTGCACTTAGTCATTCTGGACTTGATTCCATATGCTATAGAACTGGACTTGATTCCATATACTTTATGAATAATAATGAATTTAAATTGGTGGTGATCATTGTTAATGGTTCCATTTTGTTGTGAATTAATATCTTCTTTGTTTTACTTAGATTAGATCATGGTTTATGCTTAAACAGTTGTTTGATGATTGTAATGTGTGTTAGTCTGGTTATTTTATATATATCAAAGTTAGGTTTCAGTTTTTTTAAGGTGTGTTTCTTTAATTCTACCAGGTATTTTCTTAAGGTAGAATGGAGTAAGGAGAGGATTAATATTTATATTAATGAGGATTCAAACATTGGTGTGTTAGTATATCATTATGTTGCTAATTTATTGTTTTGTTACTGTTAATTACTGGTTATTGTAGGCTAGGTGTTATATACATGTGTGATTGTGATTTGTAGAGAATAGTGATGGGAAATGAGTATTTGGAACAAGTTTATCCTGGTTATTAGTATATTTGTGTGTTTACTCTTTGTTGTTTTTTTTATAGGTACTCTTTATTGTAGTTATCCTTTGTATCTAATATTGTTTTACTTTGTACATGCAGTTCTCTGGAAAGGTACACTTGAATACAATTAAGCGGATAACACGTGTGGTGCATTTGCTGGTATGCCATTACTTTGGCATTCTTTGGTATTGTATGATGGTTATAGTATGCTGAATATGTTTGCAGTGTGTCTTGGTTAAATATTTTTTGTATGGTGCTGATAGTATGTTAAATATCTCCCCAGTATCTTGGTTATAGATTATTTGTTATCTTTAGGATAGGTTTATTATCTGAGTGTGTTATATTGATAGCGTATATGGTTGTAGTATCATGAGTTGGAGGGTTTAAAATCTGTATTAGCACTGGTAGATAGTGCTTTGCTACTGCACTCAGAAAAAGACTATCATAAACATATGCCTTTGGCTTATTGCCTTAAACAGGTTATGGCGACAGTGACTCCAACGATTGTAATTCCTTTTCAGCCTTTGCTCGAACAGATTACTGATTGTGTAGGGCTTTCAAAACCAGTTTATGTGATTGATGATTTCTCCTTGAACAAGGTTTCCGTTAAAATCAAGCTGGAAAATGTCAGTCAGACTTGTGTTTTCAATGGTGGGAAAGCAGGTAGCTTGAAAAAATCATCTGAAAGGGCTGCAAAAAAGTTAATCCATGGCCTCATGGATTTGTATGATGTAGCTGTTGATGATTTCACTGCTGATCGAATCCGAACATACAGGAGATGTGCTAATTTGTTTAGGATGAAAAGGCGCCAATTACGAATTACAACTGGACAGGGAACTGCAACTGTCAATGAGTCAGGCCCTGATTTTACATCTCACCTGCCTGTGTATACTGTTGCCATTGATTATAAGGCATACTTACAGATCTTGTTGGCACGTACTGGCGCTATCATTACTTCAATTGTGACTCTTGAGTTTAGTGATCAACAGTTTTTTGCTTAAACCATGGTGACTTTCCCCCCAAGCGAGGATTTACCTGAATGCATATTTGGTGATGTGCGCCCTAAACCTGATGCTGCAGAGCAGAGTCTAGCGAAGAAGGTGATTTATTTGCTATATTATAACTACAATTTTTCTATAGCTGATGCAAACTATGGCCGCCATTCTATTAAGTGAGCTCTTTCCATGCTTGAGAAAGAGAAAACATTAACTGAGGAGGTGTGCAAACAACAGACTGGAGATTAGGGTGACCTGTTATCTGCTGTCACTGATGAGCAGTGTGTTACTCCTAATGGAAAAGAAGCAAGTATCCCACCTCAGATTGTTGTTCCACGCCCTCCCAAAAAACGCATTGCACGGTTATCTTTTGGAGCTCCTACCACTTCTGTTACTGGACATGGGAAGGTCATCCGAATTATATCCGGGGAGCTTGAAACTGTGTTCAAGTGTAGGAAAAATGAGTAAGATGACATGGTTCCTATAAATTTAGCTACCTGTTGGGGATGCAGTATAAATTTGGCTTAGTCAGGAAGCTTAGAATAGCCATGGTATTTTATTTTAGACATTGGTCTCGGATGATTTCTTGCGTTTTGTTTTAATCAGCTTTGTGTGCGAAGATGTTGTATATGAATGGTATGCATTACAGCAGAGGAACGGTTTCAGGTCTTTTAAACTTGCTAATCACAGAGAGGCTATTCTCTGGTGTTGTGTAGTGACTTTAGTATGTATAAATTTGTAATTTCAATCCGCAGCTTGGATAGTTCTATGTAGTTTTAGACTCTAGCCATTTGCAATGCCACTGTATTTGAAATGGTGTATGTTTAGTTATATAATCAATGAATATGTTTCTCTATTTTGTTCACTGGAAAAGGTTGAATTTAAATTTTACATTAGTCTTTTGCTTTATTAAAGATCTGAATAATTGTGATTTGCTTTGAATCCTAATTGTACCTCTATTTATGCTTTCTTTGGTTGTGGTCCATTTCAGGGTTTCATGAAATAATATACATTATATTGGAGTGAGGAATGTGTTGAAAGCTGATTTACATACTAAGCCTTGAGCATGGGTTTATTTCTTTACACTTAATTCACACATTGCATTCAATGCACTTACATTTAAAGTTATCTTGCATGTGAATTTTTAAGGTGGCTTGGATGTAAATTTTTTGCTGGCACTGTTCAGGGAAATAGCTTTAAAGTTACTACTGATCAGGGTGATAACATTTAACCTGTCACTGGTCAAGGTGTATGTGAATATAAAGCTAACCTGCACATATATAGGAAAGAATACATTTGCATATATCAGGTATTTAATGAAAGAAAAAAGTTGTTATCTTATTACTTGTATGTGTATAAAAAAAGATTGACTAAAAATTTGCATGTTATAGCTCCCATATCTTTTTCTGTTTCCATGTTGTAAGACAGATTTATATGTTGTTATCTTAGAAGCACTTGCACTTCATATTCCACAGATGGGAAGATAATTCTTTATAGTTTTAATTGTTTTCCAAAAATCGCTTTATGCAGAATCATTCACTAAGCCAGAGAAATAAGTGAAGCGTAAATGCAAAGACACTCGACCTTCTGTTGTAAGGTTTCCTGTTACAGTAGTCCAATGCCTTCCAAGTTTGTTACCAACACATAAGAAATAGAAGGCAGCAACAACACGTGTATCAAAACGTAATCAGGCCTTTATTAATGCTGATATTACTTCTCTAGGATCAACTTGCAAAGAGTATAGTACCAAGCGTTTAAAAGCTTTAAAGGCTGGGATTAGCTTGAGACGGCTTAATCATGATATTGTTGACATTGCAAGAGTTGCAAATTATTCTAAAACAAATGGTAAGGGAACAAAGAAAAAAATCGAAGTTATTTACATATATTTTACCCTTTTAAGATAACCATTGTTAGGTTTATTTATTAGAAATTTTGTTGTTAATCTATGTTAATTATCTATCAGCTCAAGGTGTTGCTTTAATATGTGATAAAGAAGTGCCTGCTGAGCCTCTTCAGTTGCCTGCTCGTATATACTGTTCCAAGTGCTATGCCAAAAAATTTGCTTATGAACCACTGTTCTTTTGTTGTTGAAATGGTGGTGTACAACTGGCCGAAAATCCATGGCCACCAGAGTTAATTTGGCTTTTTTACTTCTCAGGATGAAGTATGTATTCGGTTCAGAAAATACTCTCGCATGAATAATAATATTTTTGCATTAACTTCATTGGGAGGAAAGGTACTAGCTGATACTGAAAAGTGAATATATGTGTTCAAGCTACATGGACAGATATATCATAATCTTCCTGACTTATTACCTGATGATACACACCCAAAGCATTTGCAGATGTATTTTTATGATGCAGAGCATGAAGTGAAGAATCGCTCATCTACTTTTCCAGAGGTGGAACAAGAAATGGTTCAGCTTCTTATGCAAGTAATGGATCGCAATCCATATGCTCAGTTTTTCCGTTCATTAAGAGAAATTCCGGTTGTGGAAAGTACTGAAATTCATTTGAACCGAAATCCAGTTCTTGGCCAAAGAGTTTATAATGCACCAACTGCAAATGAGGTGGATGTTATATGGTCAGAAGAAACATCATCTAGCGAATATAGTAGTCCTCATATTATTGCTTGTGGTAAAAGAAACACAACTACACCTCATAGAATTATGCATTACTATGGATGCCATGATCCGCTTCAATATCCTCTTTTATATCCACATGGAGATTGTGAATGGCATGAGGGTCTAGAGAAAATAAATACAATTGATAGCAATGTTCCCCTGCAACAAGAAGTTTGCCCACTAGAGTCAATTGAGAGTGTGGAGGACTTACTGGCCGAAGAGGAAGCAAGTGAGTCCTGAGTTTTTCTTTCCTGGTGTAATGCTTTTACCTAATGAATGATTTACTATTCTTGTTGCTATATATAGTACAGATATTGTTTACAACTATGTAGTAAGTATTCAATTAAGAATAACATGAGAGAGTTTGGTGTTTGATGAATGGATGTCTCCAACTTTGTTTATAATATATTAGCTACATGAGTAGAATTGCGATTGGAAAAACTAAGCTTGCAACTGTTATGTAGCTTATTTAGTGAAATAGATTAGCTCTTAATGTTTCATATTTAGCCTTTGCACTTCACTTATTTGTGGAATTGTACATGTAATTATTATTTATAAAGCTTATTCTGCTATGATTATTAAGCTACCTGCATTCTGTATACAATGCAGATGCATCTAATGGCAAAAGGAGAAGGTTCAAGAAGATTTCTTGTAGAGAGTATTATGCATTTAAGCTGCAAATAAGGCTAGGGAACTATTTGCTATGAGCTTCACGATTCTTGCAACAATATATAGTTGATATGTATGTTAAGCTAGAAAACACAAGACTGGATTTTTTCCGTAGAAATCAGGTTGCCATTCGTGCTGATCTTTATCAGGGACTTGTTGATTGTATTGAGGGTGGATAAAATAACTCTGCAAATGTCGGTCGTTATGTGATATTGCCTCCTTCTTTTTTAGGTGGCCCTAGAGATCTTCGAAGTAGGTACTTGAATGCGATAACTTTGGTCCAGCGATTTGGAAAACCTAATCTGCTCATAACTATTATGAGTAATCCAAATTGGCCGAAAATCAAAAAAGAATTAGCTCCTGGAGAACTTGCTCAGAATAGGCCCGATTTAGTTGCAAGGATTTTCCATGCTAAGCTAATTGCACTTAAGAAGCAAATCATGGAGGAGAAAATTTTTGGAGAAGTTGCTGCACTAATATATGTAGTTGAGTTCCAAAGCGTGGGCTTCCCCATGCTAATATTTTATTAATTTTGGCTGATGGTTATAAGATTAAAGATCCTGCTGCTTTTGATAAATTCGTAGCTGCAGAGATACCTTCAACAAAGAATCCTCATCTAAGAGAGGTCGTTTTATCTCACATGATACATGGTCCATGTGGGAAGGAAAATCCTGAGTGCTCTTGTATGAAACATAGAGGCCGACTCGGTGTGTGTAAGTATGGATATCCAAAACCATATGTAACTAAGACTACTAGCCATGAGGATGGATATCCTATGTATAGAAGGCATGATACTGGAGAAACACTAATGATTCGTAAGAAACCTATGGATAACAGATGGGTCATTCCATATAACCCATATTTGTTAGCCCTCTTTGATTGCCACATGAATGTTGAAGTGTACTCTACAATTTGCGCTGTAAAATATCTCTACAAATATGTCTACAAGGGGCACGATCGGATTTCTTTCAATGTTTCTTCTGCAGAAAATCCAAAACCCAGAGATGAAATCGAGCAATTCCAATCTAGAAGGTGGGTTTCTCCATGTGAAGCAGCTTGGCGTTTATTTAGTTTTGGCCTATTTGAAATGCACCCCCCAGTGTTGCCTCTCCAAATCCATCTTCCTAATCTGCAGACTGTCCAGTTCAGGATAGATGAAAGTTTAGATTCTGTTGTAAATGATACCAAGAGGCATAAAACTGCTCTGACAGAATTTTTTGCAATGAATGCTGCTAATCCAGATGGACCACAGTATTTGTATTCAGAATTTTCAAAGAATTTTGTTTGGACAGCAGCTACAAAGGCATGGACTAGGCGTGGGAATAAAAAAATAGCCATTGGTAGGATGGCATTTGTAGCACCATCTGAAGGTGAACGCTATTACCTGTGCCTTTTTCTAGCAAATGTTTGGGGGCCTAAGTCATTTGAAGATCTTAGGACTGTTGATGGTAACATTTATGCAACTTTTCATGAAGCTGCTATTAAGCTTGGCCTCATAGCTGAAGATGATGCTGTGGACAAGTGTATGTCAGAGGCTTCGGAAACTCACATGCCTAAGGCTTTAAGACGTCTATTTGCTACTGTTCTCATTTTTTGCAATCCTTGCAATCCACTTGCCCTATGGAATAGATTTTATTCTAATATATCTGAAGTTTTCGTAAGCAATCCTTCGAACCAGGCTGGTAAAGTTCAGTACTTAACAGTTCGTTTTGTTGAGCAGTATTTAGAAGAAATGGGAAAGAGTTTGCTTGAATTTGGGCTTGATGGTCTAATGTGTGAGACAGATGATGCAATTAGAAGGACTCAGGATATTGTTGATGCCCTAGACGCACCTGTACCTGATATATATATAAAGAAGCGTGCTTAAAGCTCAATTCTAAACAGCAAATTGCTTTTGATTTTATTATGGAGCATATTACAACAGGACAACCAAGTGCTTTTTTTGTTGACGAACCTGGTGGGACAGGTAAAACTTACCTGTATTGTGCACTATATGCAGCTACCAGGGCAATGGGTAAGATTGTTCTACCAACTGCTACATCAGGAAAAGCTGCATCTAATATAGTTACTGGCAAAACAACACACTCATGATTTAAGATTCCAATTGATCTTACAGTTTCAGCCTTTTGTTGTGTTCCCAAGAAGAGTAGCTTAGATGCTTTGCTAAAAGAAACTTCTTTAATAATTTGGGATGAAGCTTCAATGGCAAAGAAAGAGAATATTGAAGTTGTCGATGTGCTTCTGCATGATCTGTGTTCTCCATCTATTCCTTTTGGTGGGAAAGTTGTTGTTTTTGTAGGAGATTTTAGGCAAGTCCTCCATGTTGTACCTAGGAAGTCACTGAATGAAGCTGTTGAAGCAAGTTTAGTGTCTTCAAATCTTTGGAACCAGTTTCACAGATTTAGACTCACTGACAATATGAGAGCAAGGACATATAGCCAGTTTGCTGATTTTTTACTTGCCATGGGGAACGGTCAAATGCAGAATGCAGAAATTGCGCAGATTCAGTTACCACAACATGTGATGATGCCCTTTCATGAATCTGAAGATGATTTTGATAGTCTTATTGACTTTGTTTTTCCATAAGTTAAAATGGCAAGCTGCAATGAAAGCATGTTTGTTGACAGAGCAATCTTGACTCCTCTCAACACTGTCGTGGATAACATAAATTGTAGCCTAATTGATCAATTCCCTGGAGAATCAGTTTATTATAAGAGCTATGATTTATTGTTCGATGATACAGGAAGTATTTATCCAATTGAGTTCTTAAATACCCTTTCTCCTGGTGGTATGAGTCCACATGAATTAGTGCTAAAGGAAAATTTTCCTGTTATCTTGCTTAGAAACCTTGCTCCTGCATCGGGTCTCTACAATGGTACTCGTATGCTATGTAAGCATTTCTATCCTAATATAATTGAGTGTACCATAATTACTGGCCATCATGTAGGAGAGCATGTTTTCATTCCACGAATAGATCTACGACCATCTGAAACACTTAATTATCCATTTAAGTTTCAAAGGAAACAGTTCCCTATTAAACTTAGTTTCGCCATGACAAACAACAAGGCTAAAGGACAGACTTTATCACAAGTTGGACTCTATCTAAACAACCCTTGTTTCTCACACGGGCAACTTTATGTTGGTTTATCTAAGGCTCAAACATCAGCTCAAATTAAAGTTTTGTCTAAGCCAACAAGAGATCAGGTTTCAGCAACAACAGTGAGAAATGTCATAGCATTCAGCATTCTCGAAAAGGCAGGCATTATTTAAGGACAACCTGCACACAGGCATATTCTACATCCATTTCCTCTTTGACACCTCCTTTTCCATATTGGTTAGTACTAAAATTTTGAAGCTAAATATCTATGCACATTTTGTTTGCAGGTTCTGAAATCTGTGTGAACAGCAAAGTATCACATAGTTTTGCTATTTTGGAAGACTATTTTTTGCTGATACAAATGGAAAAGTCTTTACTAGACATATCTTCTCCATCTTGGTAAGCATATATTTATGAATACTACTACTACTATTAGCCTAAATCATGATATTTGCTTACTTATATTAATATACGTGGTAGACTATACTTTTTGCAAATAATCTAGACCTTTACATGTATATCTTTCTTGGATTAAATTCTCACAGAGACTATACATGTAGGTGTGAAGAAAGCTGCTAAATACCAATGCATCATCATGCAGGAAATTATATGAACAAATGGCACAACAGGGCATTTGAATTCCATGCAAAATACCAAGCCACTTAATATGAGAAGACCGTTGCTGCTTTAAAATAATAGTGGAATGGCCTATTTGTACCATAATATATCCTCGTAGACATAGTTACTATATTTATAGCAATCATCTTTTGGAACAAAAGCTAATGTAAACCTTTTCTTGTAATATTTTCAATGCAATTTAAACAAGAATCATGATGCAATATAAAGAGCACTACCTATTTCAATAGTACTCATCAAATTTGCTTTAAGCTTACGGTTTTTGCTTTGCCTTACAAATCTATCCTTGAGATTTGTAAGAAGTTTAACATTAATTACATGTACTATAGTATACAAAAGCTTACGGTTCAGCATACATAGAAGCCTTAAACTGTACCAAAGGTACGTTATTTACATAGTATATGGAATACATGTACTATACATATTACAAAAGGTGTATTCCAGATAAAGGAGAACCTATTATATGTTCTAAAGATAGGCAAAATGCATATATACATATTCAAAAGAAGCTATCCATCCTACAGAAAATTAGGCTAATACATAAATAGACCTATATATTAGCATCATAAATTCTCTATAAATGATCAATAGAGTGCTTATCATTGTCAGAATCATAGTCTGATTCTTCAGAGAATCGAATTGGAGAATTAGGTTCATACCACTATTTGATTTTCCTAGCCTTTGATCTCTTCTTTTCTAACAATGCCTTTTCCTCTGCCCTTTGCTTCCTTTTTTTTTTCCTCTTCCTCCCTTTTTTTTACCCTTCTTACCATCTCCTCCTTCATCTCTTCTTCTCTCAATATTTCATCGAGCCTATCCTTCTCAGACAGAAGCTCATTCACCATTCCCTGCATCCCATACCGCACTTGCTCTAGATATAGCACATACCATTCACAATCTGCCAATAATTTCTTCTTCCCTTCCCTATCATCCTTGACTTGTTGCATTCTCTTCCTAATGTCATTGCAACACTGTACCATTTCTATATACCCCTCTTTTGATCGAAGCCAACATTTAACTAATTTGATTAAATGGGCGTGAAAATGCACAAGATCTTTTAGTCTACGACTATCTCCACAGTACTCTTGCACCCTACTTGATAAACCTTTCGCCATTGATTTGTGTTTAGAAATTAGGAGAACAAAAGAGGAAAAATTCAAGTGATAAACCTAGTTTTTGTAGCTAATGATGAAATAGCATGGAAAATATAAAGACTTGCAGGGGAAAGATTTTCTAGAAATTAGAAACAAAATTGGAAGACAAATCTTCATATTCTACAACTACTGTAGTAAGACAGAGCAATTACATCGTAGCTATAAGAATTACATGCACATTTAAGTATTAAAAATAAAATATAGAAATATTACATGTGATATTTTTTTTACACTTAATTACTTTTTGAAACGACTAATTAGTAATTGTTTTGCACTAATTAATCGTTTTTCCCTTTGCTTATTCAAAATTGTAGGAATGATATTTAATTGTGCTTATACAGTTAAAAGTATACAAATTTAAAACATCGAATTATTTGGATTTCCATTGAATTTCTAATGGCTACATATTGCGCTTATTGATTAGAACTCTTATACTAACACAACTATGTCCAGCTAGATTTAAAATATTAGATATCTATAAATATTTTATTATTGGTGCGTTAGAATGATTAAAGTAATTACAATTAATTTTCAATCATTCATCTAGAAATATTTAATTATTGGTGGATTAAAATGATTAAAATAATTCAATTAATCTTCAATCATTTAGTCATATAGAATAAGATAAATACAAATCTATCATAATAGCCATGCATACATAATATAGAGAAACGAATATCCTAAAAGTAAGGCAATTGTAGCATTGTACAAGTAATCCACTTACTTTGCATTAAATGCTTGTACTACACTATCTTACCCTATTTTTGTACTCTTAGACATTCCCATAATAAATAGTAGCATAATATGTACCAAGAATGTTAAGACTACTACTTGAGATCTAACACTACAACCTGAGATCTTTAAGACTACTACTTCTACCTAAGACTTCTACTTATTACTTATTACATTATTACATATCTAAGATTACTACTTGATTTTTTTCATCGTACTAATTACTCATTTTTTTCATCGCTTTCAATATAAGCTAATCATTGAAATTGCCTTCAAGACAAGAGACCGTGCTATAATTTATATAAATTATAAATTATATCAAATTGTACATTTACTAAATTATGGGTTATTGTAAATGATTATATTGGTTATAAACTTTGATTTCAATGCTAATAATTTAAACAACACATAAAACTATAAATTATACAATAGTTAATATACTTATGGATAATTTATCATATTTATAAGTATAAGTATATAAACACATTGTCAAACTATAAACTATGCTTTAATGATATCATATTTTATATTCGTGAAAATTTTGTGGCATTGCATCATGATATAAAATATCCTTATTTTGTAAGAAGCAAAATAAACAAAAATCCTTAAAATAAGGAAAATGTGAAATGATAATAGCTATGTACTCACTTTGCATTAAATGCTTGTACTAGACTATTTTAAATTCTTTTTTTTAATGGATTAATTTTATTATATTCCAAAAAAGTTGTATACCAATTTTAAATTATTACTATATTTTAAAAATTTAGTGCCTTTTCTATTGTAATTATTATCATATTCAAAATATCTAACACTAATTCTATGAAATTGTTTCCATTATAGATTGAACTAAGCCAAACTGCACACCACATGTTAAAATAAAAAATATATTATTCAATTTTACACCATAAATAAAAAGGTGACCTTTATTTATTATCAAAAAGATTGATCAAATATATAAAGCATACGTTGAAATTGATGGATTTAGTTGTACGCTTACATTGTTCTTATTGATCATACTCATGATTATGATTTATGGTTAGCTATGTCATTCATAATTTTGCAAATTCATTGAGTTGGTGTTTTGTGTCATCATTTTCTAAAACCATTTAAAAAATAATTTACTTAGATTAAATTAATCTATATACATAGACAACAAACAAGGATCCTCATAAAAAGGAGATCTAAAGAAAGTACATTACAACATAAGAATTGTGCTTCATTACAACTTAAAAAAAAATAAGTATTGTACCCTTGCATTAAATGCATGTACTATGCATCCCATAATTACTTTTTTTTTTAAAAAAAAAATGTCTTGGACTTTGTTTAAGAGAAGTTTGAAGTAAATGAGTAAATAATTAATTTAGACAATGCATACTTAGTAAAGCTCGAGTAGAATAAAAAAATTCCGAACGTGTAACAATGACTTAGGACTGTGTAACAATGTAGCAGTTATTGTTATTATTATTATTATTGTTGTTGTTGTTGTTGTTGTTATTATCGTTATTGTTATTATTATTATCATCATGTAGCCGATTTCGACTCATATCCTCGATTTAAAATCTACCTAAGACAAATTTTACACCACATGTTATAATATATCCCATCTCTTCCATTTAACATTCACCTAAGATCAATTTTATACCAATTTCAAGTTTACACCAATTTCATTCAAAGTATAAGGGTTTAATAATGTAAATAAACAACAAATAAGAATCCTAATAAAAAGAAAATTTATAAAAAGTACATTGTACAATTGGAATAGGATTTCTATCTTTGCATTAAATGCTTGTACTATCATATCTTTTTAAATTTTGAGAACATAAGATTTGATGTATGTTTCTTAAACAATATGTAATGTAATCTCCTTAAATCATGCCCCCATAAGTGACGTGACTCCCTTTAAAAAAAAATTGAGGAAATAAGTAACATTACCCTTAGTAGATCATGATGAGCTTATTTAATTTCAT